AGCTGGTGAGCACCACAAAAACTGCCAGCATCAGTGGCACCGGCGGTTTGGCCACAGAGACTGGGCAGCGGCTGAACGACTCTTCAAAGAAAAAACTGGCAACCGGCGTTAAGGTAGGTGACTGTGGCATGCGACTTGTTTGTGAATGTTGCCTCGAGGGGAAGTCCGCTAGGCAACCATTTCCCCCGGTGGCGGAGCGTAAATCCAAACGAATCCTCGACATCGTGCATACCGATTTGTGTGGGCCAATGAAAACCACGACTCCAAGTGGTAATCGTTTCGTCATGCACTTGATCGACGATTATAGCCGGTTCACGGTAACATATTTGTTAAAGCACAAATCGGAAGCCGCACAAATCATAAAGGATTACGTTCGATGGACGCAAAATGTGTTTGGCCGGAAGCCTGGAGCTATTCGTTCCGACGGAGAGGGCGAATTTTGCAACAATGACTTGAAGAGCTTCTATCGTGCCGAGGGTATCATGGCGCAGTTCACGACACCGTACACTCCCCAGCAAAACGGTGTGGCCGAACGTAAAAATCGGAGATGGCCACATGCATGATGATCGACTCTGGCATGAATGAGCGCTACTGGGGAGAGGCGGTGTTGACCGCAACATATTTGCAAAATCGGTTGCCTTCCAGAAGTGTACCAAAAACCCCCTACGAGCTCTGGTGGGGACGTAAGCCGGATTTGTCTCACCTTCGCATCTTCGGATCAGAGGCCTATGTCCACGTGCCAGATCAGAAGCGTGGAAAGCTGGAGGGAAAATCGAAGAAGCTTCGATTTGTAGGTTATTCGATGGATCATAAAGCCTACAGATTTGTGAATTGCGAGACTGATCTCATCACTCTTAGTCACGACGCCCGCTTCGTCGAACTGGGGAATGGCACTTCGTCGTCCGATATTCCGCTGAAGTTTGAAACCCATGGAGAGCAGAGAGCGACCGTTAAGGAGGATAATGATCCACTGAAGCTTGAAGATGAAGAGAAACTTGTCCCGGAAGCAGAGTAAGAAGTTCAAGAAGAGAAATCAGTTCAGGTGGAACCTGTTCGTCGCTCGCAGCGTCAGACGCGTGGCATGCCACCACGGAATCTGGATGATTATGTACTCGATTACGCCGTCGGGAACATGGCTTGTGCCTCGGAGGAACCGATCAACGTACTGGAAGCGCTGAAGATCGAGGAATGGCGAAATGTGATGGAAGATGAACTGGACTCACACAAGCGGAACCAAACGTGGAAACTCGTTCAATTGCCGAAAGGAAAGAAAGTCGTAGGATCACGCTGGGTGTATAAGCTGAAGCGCGACGAAAATGGCAACATTGTGAAGCACAAAGCGCGAGTCGTGGCTCAAGGTTTTTCACAGAAGTTCGGCGAAGATTTTGAGGATGTATTCGCCCCTGTCGCTCGACACGCAACGTTTCGTACACTGTTGACCATTGTATCCAAGCGGAAGATGGCTGTGAGACATCTAGATATCAAGACGGCATATCTTTACGGCGTTCTGGAAGAAGAGGTATACATGAGCCAACCGCCAGGATATGCAGTGCCAAGCAAGGAAGACTACGTCTGCAGGCTCAAACGGAGCATCTACGGGTTACGACAGTCCGCACGTTGCTGGCACAAGCGACTCCATGATGTGCTGGTCAACTTGCAGTTCAAACAATCATCGGCCGACCCTTGCTTGTATGTGAGAGATTGTGGAAGAGCTAAGGTGTTTTTACTCGTGTACGTCGATGACATGCTGCTAGTGTCGGCGAGCTCCGGTCAGCTGGAGGCGGTAACGGATGGACTGAAAAATGAATTCGAGGTTACGTGTCTGGGAGATGTTCGCCATTTCCTCGGCATGGAGATTCGTCGTGAAGAGAATGTGTACACAATTCGGCTGCAGAGTTACATCGGCAAGCTGCTTGAAGACCACGGTATGTGTGATGCAAAACCTGCCAAGGCGCCGATGGACGCGAATTACGTCAAAGTCGAAGATAAAAGTGAGTTGCTGAAGGATGCTTCGAGGTACAGAAGTGTCGTCGGAAGCCTATTGTACCTCTCTGTAGTGGCTCGACCTGATATTGCCAACAGTGTGTGCATTCTTGGAAGAAAGTTTGCAGCACCCACGCAGCAAGATTGGGTGGCTCTGAAAAGAGTGATGAGGTATCTCAAAGGCACGATCAGCTGCAGTCTGCGTTTGGGTGGTGAAGATAGTCAGGCGTTGCTGGGTTTTTCAGACGCCGACTGGGCCGGCGATTTGACAACTCGCAGATCGACCTCGGGATTTGTTTTTATGTTTTCCGGTGGAACGATCTTGTGGGCAAGTCGTGGTCAAGCTACCGTGACACTTTCGTCAATGGAGGCGGAATATATTGCCCTCAGCGAGGCCTGTCAGGAAGTAGTCTGGTTGAGACAACTATTGTCGGATTTCGGAGAACATCAGAAAGAAGCTACTATAATCCGTGAAGACAACCAGGGTTGTATCGCCTTCGTTGAAACGAAGCGTGTCAACCGAAGATCTAAGCATATCGATACAAGGCAGAAATTTGTGCAGGAGCTATGTTTGTCGGGTCAGATTGCACTCCAATATTGCCCAACGGATCAAATGGCGGCTGATATACATACAAAGCCACTGGGACCGCAGAAGCATAACCGTTTCTGCATGATGTTAGGCCTGGCGTAACGGAGTTCCTGATGACGGATGCTGCTCATCGAGGAGGAGTGTTAGGAGCGATGATTACCTCCTGACAACTACGCGCAAGCACCCCCGGGTGAGTACGATCTCTCATCGCATTGTCTTACCTCACGGTAAGTTTGACAGCTATTCTTACTACTAAAAGCACGATTCCCGTGTACGGTTTATTATTCCTTTTATGTGAAATACATTGTTCCTTTAAAAGTTAGCCCGCTTGTTTATTTCACCGTTCCGAATCCGAACCTGGTTTCGCTGGTCCACTGCGCTGCTCCACCTGGTCGTATAGTCGTCACAGAGGACGCTCCGGCCGATTAAAATTCGCCGACGCACAAAGTATCTACAAGACGCTGATTAGACCGGTGGTCCTCTAGGGCCGCGGGACCTGGACTATGCTCGTGAAGGACCAACCGCCCTTGGTGTTTTCGAACGGAAGGTGTTGCGCACCATCTACGGTGGAGTGCAGATGGATGACAGAACGTGGAGGAGGCAAATGAACCACGAATTGCACCAGCTGCTGGGAGAACCATCCATCGTTCACATTGCAAAAATTGGGCAACTACGGTGGGCTGGTCACGTCGTAAGAATGCAGCACGACTAACAGGAACAAGAAGAAGAGGCGCGCAACGGGCAAGGTGGATTGACCAAGTAGAAGGCGACCTACGGACTCTTCGCAGACTACGAGGCTGGCGACGTGTGGCCATGGATCGAGTAGAGTGGAGACGACTTCTTCGGACAGCAGAGGACAACAAGGCCTTAGCCTGATTGGTAAGGTAAGTACTGATCCGATAATACTTATGAGAGCAACCGTACCGTTGAGTAAATAAGGCATATTTACCAACCTATACCAAACGCTACTTGCGTACCGAGGGTTGCTATTCAGGTGCGGAAAATAACTATACGCCGCTCGGGAAGTGGTGAGCTCACGAATTTAGCAACACATCAGAATATTGCTAGTTTGAATAAACGTCAAAAGTTTGTTTTAATTCCTATCCTTCTCGAGTTGGTTTGAATTTTTACTGCTGGTTCCACAGTGTTAATACTACAATAATAAAGTAAAATGTGTGCTTTAAAACGAGGAACGAACTGGACCACACCAGAGGACGAAGCGCTGTGTAATGCGTGGCTGAACACATTGCAAGATGCAAATGTCGGTGAGCGACAACTATATATGATCGCGTTTATCAAAATTTCCTCGAAATTTGCACTGAGAAACAAGTTACCGATAATCCGGAATTATGGGCTCCTAAGGGCATAACAACCAGTTGACATTACATCAGCAAGATGGTCTGCAAATTCGCTGGCTATCTTGCATAAATAGAGAATCATTGTCAAAGTGGTGCCTCTCCGGAAGATATGCTCAAACAGGCGATTGCATTATTCTCATACAAGGAGAAAACTGCATTGCGACATTATTCTGCAAAGTGCACCGAAATGGCAGCAACTTCATTATGTAAAGGTTAGTATTTCTATAGTTTAACCATTTCAAATACTATAACTTCTAATACTAATCCCAAAAGAGCCGCTACAGAATCTGTCGATTTGGCTCAACACGAAACAAGTGTTCCGAATGTTGGCCTTCATGTTCCAGTCGCCCGATCCGGCAGAAGGCCAGTAAAGCTCAAAAGTTGTATAAAGAAAATCACGCAGGAAGTGACGAACCAGCCAGTGGCTGAAAGTCACTCTAGTAAAGAAAAAAAAAATCACGCAGGAGCCGAAATGGCCAAGGCTAGCTATCTGTTGGCTTCTGCTGCGAAAGAAAGACTTGCCTACAGCAAACAAAAGGCACTAGCCCTAAGTAGAGTTGCTAACCATTCCATTATGTCAATGAACTTGAATTGTTTGCTGGAGCAGTGAAGAACTCTAGATGATGACTAGAAGATGTTACTGGTACGGTAAGAGACACTGATACTGACGAGTGTAATGAGAATGATCCGGATATGACAGCAGAATTCTCGACAGAATTCTTGGAAAGGATCGATTCCAAAGATGAATCTTAGTTGTACGATATTTGTCTTTCTTTTTTATTAATTATTTACATGAAAAGATTGACTTGTGCTATCTTATATGTAGAACTGTAAATTTCAATTATTTCGTTCCAGTCGGTGAGGAAAACGGTAACTTAAATTATGACTCTGATAACTACGACCTGTGTGGAGAGTAGTAATTATGCCAAAATTGAAACGCTGTGCGTAAGTAAAATAGGCCACAAAAGGCAACGACTGGTACGGTTGCTCTTAATAAACACGAATACATGATCCAACGAATGACAAAATCATCTCAAAGCGCATTATCACGCTTTTGTTTTGACTCACATAAAAATCATTAAGCCATGCGCAGGTAAGAGAGCAACCAGATTATCAAAACAAACCATGATCAGCTGTGTATTTTCATGCAACAACAAAAAACCCACCTCTCCCGGCAATTCCAGTTTATGTCGTCATCAACCTCTCTCAGAGATAAACGTTTGGTTTCGCCAAAGCACCGAAAACTTTAGGCTCCCATTTCACGCGAGCTGCTGTCAGTTGCCAACGGAACCTATCCTCGCTAACATGTTTTCGGCGAAGTCTTTTGCGTTTCTTCTTTTTGTGCTGGCCATTGGTAAGTTTCCGAGTTTTGCTTTTGTTGATAATTTCCATCCATTCAGGAAATACCCAAGTCTCATCGAATGGATCGTTTCAGCAACGGCCTTCACTCTGCTGCCATGCGAGATACCGAATGAAGAAGCCACTGGCTACTGTATTCCACAGGAGGGTTGCCAGGCCTATCAAAAACTGGTCGCTAGCAATTCCCTGGATAATGAACAACAGACCTTCATCAACCATTTAAATTGTTCCAATACTGGGGTTTGTTGTCCTCTGACGGCCACAACGTATAAAAATCCCCGTGTGCTTGAGGCACCAAAACACGAGCGCGATTTAATCGAAAGCTGCGGAGTCGATGCATCTGGAGATCGGATTTTCGGTGGACAAGTCAGCAGGATTGACGAGTTTCCCTGGATGGCTCTGTTGTTCTACGAATCGAAACTAACTGGACAGATGCATCCGTCCTGTGGAGGCGTGCTCCTCACGAAGCGATGGATATTGACGGCAGCCCATTGTGTGACGGGGAAGAACTATCTGAACTTGGGACCACTGTGAGTTGCATTCGATCAATCTCGCCCATCGCACATCGCACAGATTGATTTCATTCATTTGTGCTTTTAGAAAATTTGTCCGCCTTGGGGAATATAATCTGGAAACGGACGAAGACTGCGATGCCTATGGTGACTGCAGTGAAAAGCCAATCGATTTGAATGTGGAGAAAACGATTGCCCATCCGGACTATGTGAGTAGCAGTTGGGATAAGTACAACGATTTGGCGCTGGTGAAGCTGGTGAAAGAAGCACCGTACACGGATTTCATTCGGCACATCTGTTTGCCGAGCTACTACAATTTGACGGAACCGCATAGTGATGCCGATATGAAGTTCGTGGCTGCCGGCTGGGGACGAACCGATTTTTGTGAGTATAAATATTCATTTTGAATTTTGGTAAACAATATCAGTTCTGGTTATGCTAATTCATGCTAATTCTAATAACCCTTTAAAAAAAATCAAACAAATAATGGTTCTCGATGCGGCAAAGTTATCGCTGTTTGACTTTGTTGCTGAAACAATTTCCATCGTTGCGATTAGAATCTCAGTAGTAGACCTAATGTAATTACAAACGTTCAGTTCGTGCAGATAGCCTAATCCTTGAACTGAGACGTGATTAGTTTGATAAGAAATTGACAAGCATTTTGAATGTTCATTAGCATTTCATAGTTTATTTTGTAAATTATCTGCCGGTTATGTCACTAATGAGTAATGCTTCAATATACATTCAACACTAACCAATATGATAAGACTGAAGTTGATGCGCCGTTACAAACACACAAACAACGAAAGCATTTTTTTTCCTTGATTTGTTTTTCGTCGATCTTGTTTTCCTTGCTGAGCACCAATGCTACCGACGCCAGAGAGGCAACTCCCACACCTGGATCCTACCTATTGACCCAGCAACTCATGAACCGGGGACCAAGGGTTTTACTTCCCTTCCGAAGCAAGGCGTGATCAAAGATGTTATGCCTCAGGCCTGCTGGGATTAGAGGTAATCACGCTTACCACTATACCACCGGCGCCGCTACAACGAAAGCATTATTCATCTATTTAAAATTACTACTAGTGATGACGATGATGATGATGATGACCAGATTAGCAAACAAAAACGAGCTGGTTACAGTTGCAGATATGAATTCTCTTAGCAATTTTTTAGTTACTTCACAGCGATATTATATCAAAAAAGTTACTTCACCGCGATTATCAAATCACAGTGATACTATATCAAAATAACGCATTTGTTTTTTCACATGTATAATGCATGTGAAAAAAAAAAAACAAATGCGTCCACCTCTTTGCTCACTCCTTTGGCCACCTCCTATATTCACAAGTCATTTTTGCGATCAAGAGTTCATGAATAATCAACACAGCATCCATTTACGCCTTATTAGAAACCCCGAAACCTGATGCTTTCATAATTTTCAGCAATGTCAGGAATGCTCACGAGCCCCCGACAGTCAGCCAGAAAATTTACTACTATTTAAAGGCAGCTGAGCTGTTCCACGCGACTCGCAAATCGTTGCGGATCGATGTTTTTAGAATTACTTGTAATTTTCCAGAGTTGTTTGATAATGTACAATAAGCCATTTTACACATGTGTTTTCTTAGTTTTGCACTGCGACCAATTTCAGAAAAGGGTGTTCGTGCAGGCGACTACTACTGCCTCTATCCTTAACATAAAATAGGTACTGTGCCTACCCATAGATGTCACCACTTGTCCCCGTATCATTGTTATAGCTTAGTATGTACTGTTCTTGTTATGTTACAGTAAATAAACGTCTGTAGTACGTTTACCTCCGCCATGGCAGGACGGTCAGTAAATCGATCGTAAATCATTATTTTCATCTATCACACAACGTACAAATTGGGTCCTATCCGTGCGCGATCAAAGGGCTTATATAAAAATGACACGTATATCTCCATACCGATTAGTTTTATAGAGATGATGTCTTCGAAAAAGTTATGTAGAAGTATTGTGCCTTTCTAGAAAAAAATATTCACTGAAAAAATAATTGTGCATTTTGGTTAACAAAATTAAAATTAACTATTATCTTAAACATCGCAAATCGCATTTTTTTTTTTAAATAATGAGCAGTGATTACCATCCCAACACCATCTGGCCTAACGACCAGGTGCCTGCAAGAACCCGCAGACCACGCCCAAGTAACCAAAAGTTCTGATAAAGGACTTTTTGTGGCTTAAGCAGCTTGGTTTAGGGTGGTCTATATAATTCTAATCAGCCTCATTTTTAACTCGTTATAAGAACTTGAAGGTTCCGGTACTATAATTGAAGAGCATTCTAAGCAGCTTCTGTTAATTCTAAAGTCAAGTCTTTATGAATGTTATTTCTAAAGGCAGGTATGTAGTGTATTGATTATCAGCATTAGTAGTAGAATTCTTCTGTTTGAAGAATTAAAACCAGTCCCTCTGCGTGAGAGCCCCAGCACGAACCGCTACATCATCTGAGATATATTAAAGTGAGTTTTTGTCCCGCCTTGTTGGAGTTTTCAGTGCCAGCTGACTGACTTGAATACGAAACACAACACCTTGATAAATTTGAAATTGGTGTTTGCCCGCAGGGTATTACAACACACTTGTAGCGCAGTGGTTAGCGTTCGTAAATCGCATGCCAAACACACGGGCGCAATCCAGGAAATTGTTCTTTATATTTTATGTTTGGATGGAATCTCGATGCACTGCATAAATAAAAGAATTATGATTTATCTGAGCCACTGATCATTTCATATTTACGTACATTAATTTTTGTTCCTAAAAAATACTTGTGCGGATTGCTTAATGTGGGCTATGACGGAGATTTTAAGAAATTTTCAAGTTGCTAAGAAATTCCGCAGGGAACTTTTAAGATACGTTAAAGTTAGTAATAAGTTCCGCTAGGAACTTGTTGGGAACTTTGTTGTGGCCATGTTTTCAGCTTTGCCTGAAGTTCCTAAGAAGTGGTTAGGCATGCTTTTTTGAACTTTTTTTGAACTTCGAGAGCCTGAAGTTCCTCGTGTGCTTTCTATAGCTTCCACAGTAGCCAGAGAGTGTGTTGGAACTTGAAAGTGGGTTTTATCGTTGAAAGCGGAACTTTTGGTTGCTAGGGAAGAAAGTACTGTCGGAACTTTATTTGAACTTTATGGAACTTGAAAGTACTGTCGGAACTTTATTTGAACTTTATGGAACTTGAAAGTTCTGTCGAAACTTTATTCGATCTTTATGGAACTTGGAAGTGAGTTTTATCGTTGAATGCGGAACTTTTGGTTACTTGGACGATGGCTCTACAAACAGGCTGACTGGACGGCTTTCCAAGCCGCAATCGAAACATTGTGTGAAAATACAGCTCCATCATCTATCGACAAGCTCATGGCAGCTATCGCTAGAGCAGCCACGACATCGATTCCCAAGACCAGCTCCAACCCCGCACACTGGGGCAGATCAGTGATTTTCTCGGAAAAAAATATTAACTTTTGAACAAAGCATCCAATCAGAATATTGTCTTCGGTAAAGTTGTTTGTATTAATTTAGCGCTTCTTTTGAATATATTAATTAGTTCGCAACTTGGTCGTAGAGATGGCGCGCGAATCTAACTTTTGAATTAAGCATCCTAGACGTATGGTGTTTTCAACAAAGTTTTTTATCTATTATAAGAAAAGTTGCAGAAGACATAAAACTTCCATAGCCTTTAGTTTCGGAGATATAGGGTATATTGAAAAATATGATGCCAAAATTCTTATTTGTTAACGTTTTGTATATTTTCATATGTTTGCTCTGGTTTCTGCATTTATTCCAACGAAAACAAACTAGGTGCAAATTTTCATTGCACTATTTGTGGAATTTATAGTGGTTTTAGTGAAATATTCTCGAAAAACATGATATTTTGCTTGTCATTTAGGTGGGTGGGATTCTCGTAGGGGCAGCTAAGGGCAGCTGGACTTTGTCTCTTTTGCTAGCTCATGTCATTGTCTAACATATACCAGAAAACTGAAGACATGATATTCGATGATTTTTTTAAATTTCACTTTATATATACCGATAAAAACATCCTTTACATTGAAATGAACTGTTTCACAAAATGGAAAACATTATATCTCCTATATCTCCGAAACTAAAGGTTATGGAAGTTTTATGTCTTCTGCAACTTTCCTTTATTTTAATAGATAAAAAACTTTGTTGAAAACACCATACGTCTAGGATTAATTAATTAACTTCAGAAGAAGCGCTAACGAATTAATTTATTCAGAAGAAGCGCTTAACTAAAACAAACAACTGTACCGAAGACAGTATTCTGATTGGATGCTTTGTTCAAAAGTTATTAATTTTTTCCGAGAAAATCACTGATCTGCCCCAGCGTGCGCCGCCAGCGTCGACCAGCTTGACACGTACATCCACTCACTGTCAGCGATAGACGACTATTATGCGGAATTTCGCCGTAAACACAACGTGACCAGTGACTCCATCTCTAACATCACCATTCCCGACGATTACACGGATTCCGCCATTTATCAACGCTTCGATCTCAGAGAGCTTGCCTATGGATCAAACTGTTGGAACTCCTCAACAAGGAGTGGCTTAGTAACTTCCTTCCGGGACAGTGGAGCCACAGCCTGGTTGTTTTCATCAAGAAGATCGGCAAATCCAGCAGATTGCTGGGGGATTTCCACCCAATCTTGCTCACTTGCTGCAGCTCCAAAATCATGGAGTGCATGATTAACCGTCGACTCATGAGCTCTCTGAACGATCGCAATCTTCTCGACGGCCGTCAACACGCGTTCCGTCTAGGGCACAGTACTAATATGTACTTTGGGTGGCTCGGTCCCCAAGTAACACATAAAACATCTTTTTGAAAAAGAATTAGAACGGCTTGTTGTATAAATGTATTATAAGAGATGCAGAAAACATCCCACGTTATATATGAGGTTTAAAAATGTTTTCTTCATACTTCTTTGATTCAACATTTTCCAAAATAGTTTTCTTTTGCTTTTATCTTTAAATGTTATTTGAACGTGCATCTTACAGTTTTAATACCACTATAAAACTTGTCGTATGCAAAATCAATCCAGATTGACGTAAACATTGACGGTGCCATTGAACCGGACTGTCATGCACATGCATTGATTGACAGTTTCTTATGAGGTATTCGGAAGTTTGTTATAAAGAAAGTTGAAAATACTTTTTTATGACATCTCATAAATTAATACAACTGAAAATGTGCAGGTTGTCTTATAAGGAGTTGAAAATACGTTTAAATAACATTCTGGCAATTAGATGTACGCTTTGCTATTAACAAAACGTCTTCATGATGGATCGAAGGCGTGTTGAACGAGAAAACAATTTTCATGCCATTGGCAAGAACATGATAGATAC